TCCCTGGAGGTATTTAAAAGACGTGTAGATGAGGCGCTTAGGGACATGGTTTAGTGGGCATGGGGGGGTTGGGTTGCCGGTTGGACTCGATGATCTTGGAGGTCTCTTCCAACCTTAATGATTCTATGATTCTATGATGGCACATAGATGGTTTTGCCGAATTCCCGGAGGGCGGCTCCATCCGCAGCAGGGAGGTGTTTCCATGTTTCCGTGTTTCCTGTACTTACTTCTCCCTTCCTTTCCCCCCCAGTGCTGTGGAACGTCTACGGGGACTGCGATAACTACGCCACCCTGAAGGGGCACAGTGGGGCGGTTATGGAGCTGCACTATAACACAGACGGCAGGTAAGCGGCGTGCGGATGGCTTTTGGCCTCGGGCCCGGCTCTTTCTGAAGGAAGATGCTTTCTGCTGGCCGGAGTCCCTCAGAGCGCCCCGTCGTTGTCCCTGCTCGGTCCACGTGCGGCGGATGCTTGTAGTGTGGCTTTCCCGGATAAGGAGTGGTGCCTGCTTGAGCAAAGGATCTGGAGTCACCTGTGACCCGCCAGTGCCCTCGATTTCAATCTTGCGGAACAGGAAAGTTGGTGTTGGTCATCTGGGAGACGCTGGGGAGGGAAAGAAACCAAGTGAGATCTTTGTTAATTTAAAAGGCCATTCTGCTGTTGCACCTGAGCGATTGCCACTGAGCTTTCCTTGCTGTGTTCATCCCGGATAGTGTTTGAGGAGGCGGAAAACCAATTTATATGTATCTAGAAATGGGGGTTAATGGGAGTGCCTCCAGTGTAACTGCCCCACTGTCAGTCAGCCTCCTCTGAAACACCACCTTTGTCTTGGCATATGGGGGAGATTCTCCTCCATGGCGTATTTCCAGCTTTGATCACAGAACTTGAGAGTAAAAAAGGGTGGGAGGGGAGAAATGTTTCCGAAATGGAGAACCTCACGGCGATTCTTCTCCGCAGCATGCTCTTCTCAGCATCCACAGACAAAACCGTGGCTGTGTGGGACAGTGAGACTGGAGAGAGAGTGAAGAGACTGAAGGGCCATACCTCATTCGTTAACTCCTGTTACCCAGCGAGGCGAGGACCCCAGCTCGTCTGTACAGGCAGTGACGATGGGACAGTGAAGGTCAGTAGATTGTGCAAGGAGATAGTCTGGAATGAAAGTAAGATAGGATCTCTGAAAGAATTTTTGGGGTCTTCCCATTTAAGTGGGCTGAATTCAGCCTTTCGTTACTCTTATCATCTCGTTACGTAATAACTTTGATTTCAGAAATAAAAACTTTGAAATAAAATTTGACTGCTCCTCTTTTTCTGTAATTCTTGGGGGGGGATTAAGAAGATTCATCTGCTCAGCTGTACTTTTTCCGCTGAACTGCATTAACAAAGCATGAGAACGGCAAGCTGTTAATGAAATCTCGCACACTAGCCCCTTCTTCCCTCCCCCGCACTCCAACCACACCAGACTTTTATCGTGGTTTTTATAGAGATCGCCTGAGATTTAAAAGAGGGGATTTCAGGAGAGCGTTCTGAGTCTCTGCCAAGTATCTGTGCAACGTCCTGTAATTTTATCATTAAATATTTCTGTGCAACTTTTACAACTGCCATGTCTTTTCAGCTGTGGGATATCAGGAAAAAAGCTGCTGTCCAGACATTTCAGAACACGTACCAGGTCTTGGCTGTAACTTTCAATGACACCAGTGACCAGATCATCTCCGGAGGCATCGACAACGATATTAAGGTAGGGCGCCCGTGTCCTCGTGTGCCTTTCTGACCGTGCACACCTTTTCCATCCCGTCGCATCTTGCTTGTAGCAGTGTGCGAGGCACCGCCTCGGTCAAGGACAAACGTGGAAGCCTGTTGGTTAATTTTACGGTCACAAGAACGGCGCAGCCCTGCTGTGTCTGACCTCGCTGTTGATAGAGGGCCAATGAACTCTGAGGGAGTTGCGCCAGGGCTGTTTGCC